CCGGTGTCTTCCAGCTGAAGAAGCAATTCCTCTTCGCCTCCAACGTAGAATCGATCCACTTCACTCTGGTATATGCGCCCTCCTTCTCCCTCCCCCCCCCCTCCCGGGAGGGTGTTGTAAGGCCTGTGTGGGTGGTGCATCGATGCATGCTGACCTCCTGTCGCTGCCACCGCCACCACCACGTGGTGGAACGCCATCAGGACGGTAAACTGCTGCTCGTGGCCGCACGCGAGGACAACTACCTCCACTGCGTGGACATGGACACGCTGGCCGAGTGGAAGCTCAACATGAACGCCAACCAAGACGACCACGTGCGTGGCCCTTTTTTCTTTTTATTTGCCGCCCTCCCCGGGTGATACCGGCCGGCCCCGATTTCTTCTTCCAACACACGGCCGTGCTGGCAGGTCTCCTTCTCGGCCCTCCACGTAACGTCCGACGCGGCCTCCAAGTACCTCCTCGTCGCCACCGGTACGGATGCCCCTCCCCCCTCCCTCCCCGGGGTACGGCGGTGCTCGATCGTTTTGAGGACCGGCGGCGGCGGTTGGCTGCCACCTCGGGAGGTGTTGGTCCAGCTGCTGATTGGACTGTTTTTGTTGTGCACGCATGTGGCCGCCCTCACCAGACAAGAACCGCAGCATTATGTTCTCCCTGGCCGACTCGCAGCAGGTGCGCAACTTCTACGGGTCCTCGAACGACGTCTTCAGCCAGCCCCGCATCGCCTTCGACCCCACCGCCAAGTATGTCTACTGCGTACGTCCACCCTCTCCGTTCGTTCGTTCGTTCGACCCATCATTCTCCACCACTTCCGGTTGATAGCGCGATGAACGATGTTCCTCTGGTGTGTGTATGTGTGTGTGTGTGTGGTGTGTTGGCGCGTACACAGACAGCGCAAGCCAAAAGGTGCACGTGTACGACGTGGCCTCGGGAGAAAGCTCCGTCCACAAGAACNCCGGGCACTCAGCGACCATTGTACCCTCCACACCGCACCCCTCCCTCCAATCCGTTGCTGTGGGGAGTGCCAACCTTTGTTTGGGGGGGGGGCTGCGAGACCAGAGGGACATGCACCACCATCCGCGAGAAAACTGCCTGGCCACGGCCTCGTTCGATCGAACGGTGAAGCTCTGGACCCACGCCGAGCAGGACTGAGGAGCTTGCTTGCCCCAGCGGATTCCCTGGCCTCGTTCATGCCGCGTCGGGGAGCACGCGCGCCAGCGACCTGGTCGGTTGCACCGCCGATCGCAGCTCGCTGTCTGACACCTGGCGGCAGCGGCGGCCGTCGCAATAGGTTTACAGTCAGCACGCACGTAGGCGCGGAGTAGAGGGATGCAATGGGGGCAGAGGGGGGGGGGCACCTGTAGGAGCAGGCCCTGCTGGCTGCCTTTGCCTTTGGCCTTGGTGGTCGTAATGAGTGCGTGGCCCTCGAGTGCGGCGCACATGTCACTGAACTCGCTCGGCGTCACGGCGCCGAAACCGTCTCGCGTGCACACGGCCTTGTAGGTGTCGAACACCTGCAGCAGTCGTAGTAGTAGTAGTAGTAGGAGTTTTAGGGGCGGAGAGGCACAGACACCTGGTGGTGGGTGGTGGGTGGTGGTGGTGTGGCCTCCACTCTTTCGCTCCCGATTTGGCCTCGTAAGTGTGTGTGCACGTACCACTTTCCAGGGCAGTGGGCCGGACACGCGTGTGGCGAGCTGCGCCCTGGCCACGACGAGGCAGCACAGGAGGAGCTGCTGGAGGGTGGGCAGCCCGCGGATCTGCACGACGCGCTTGCTGACCTGCCCGAGGGCGCCGGCCATCGCCTGAGACATCTGCTGCACCGACACCCGCGGCAGCCCACGCTGGGCTTGGCTGCCCCAGTTGCCGGGCAGGTCCTTGAGGGCCTCCTCCACTGCCAGCCTGTGTGCACAGCCCATATATACACGCGCCTGTGAGCCAGTGAACCCTAAGCGAGCGAGCGAGCGAGCAAAAGGCGGGTCACGTACGTGGCGAGGTGAAGGGCCTTGCGGGCGTCTCCGGACATCTTGGCCGCCTGCGAGGCGCAAAGCTGGAGGGCAGCATCGTCGAAGAGCCTGCAGCCCATTTTCGCCTGCCTGCCCTTCAAGATGCCCAGCAGCTGGGCGGCGCTGTAGCTCTCGAACGTCATCTGCTTCACGTCCCCTGCACACAAGCAGACGGGTTGGCGCGCCGGTCAGGTTGGGGGGGGGAGCGTAGCGGAATGAAAGGGGAGACGAGAGGTGGCCGTATAGTGTGTGTCGTGTGTGTGTCGTGTGTGTGTGTGTGTCGTGTCGTGTGTCGTGTCGTGTCGTGTGTGTGTCGTGTCGTGTGTCGTGTCGTGTGTGTCGTGTGTGTCGTGTGTGTCGTGTACCATATTTGGCTGTCTGCAGGAGGGGAAGGCTCTCCTTCAGCCGAAGCGCGTTGGCCACCCCTGTACCCCGCCCCGCCCCTCCATGTCAGCACACGCACACGCACACAACGCCGGAGGACCGTCTAGACCCACGCACCTATGAAGACGAGAGAGGAGCGGGGCAGGGCGGTGATCTCGAACAGCTTGTAGAGGATGTCGGCCTGCTTGGCCATGATCAGCTGGTCGAGCTCGTCCAAGACCACCACTCTGTGCACATTGGGCGGGCGGGGGGAACATGCGCACAGATGGTATACACACGACCGTCAACTCCAAGCAGGGACCAGCATAGGCGCGCCTATGCGTCTGCCGTATGATGATGATGATGATGATGATGATGATGATGATGATGATGATGAACGGCCGTACGTCATGTGAGGCCGCCTCGGGTCCGTGAGCAGATCCTCGAGCCGCCTGCCGGGAGCCCCGGCAATGGCCTCGATGATGGCCTCCTCGATCTGCTCCGCCCTCACCTGCATCCCGTTCAACTCGACCACTGCAGAGTCCGGGTCAGCACACGCACCGTCGCACACAGATCTCGTGCTCTAAGCAGCTGCACCACCAGCACCGTCGGGGGAGGAGAGGGGGGTGCTCACCAATGCATCCGGGGGCGTCCTCCCGGTGCTTCCGCTCCCACTGCTTCATCTTCTCAATCACTCGACTGAGCGTGAGTGTCTTGCCCGTACCTGCAGCAGCCCGGGCGGCGGCGGCGGCGGCGGTAAGGATGGTGGTAACGGTGGCGCGTGGCGCGTGGGTAGGGGAGAGGGGAGGCGACCACAGAAAGAAGCGAAAGAAGAGAGGGGGGCGTGGCAGAGAGGGCGGTGTCAAAGAGAAGTGGGGCGGGGCACGGGGTACCGGGGCTGCCGGACACGTAGAGGGAGCCGGGCTTGCGCTGGAGGACGTGGTCCTGCCAGAAGCGCGCCATCTCCTCCTCGTCCTCGTCGCGTCGCGTGTAGGCCCCGGCGGCGCCCTGGCAGAGGTCGAGGTGCTCCTTGGCCTGTCTGTACACCCGCTCGGCCTCGGCCAGCGTCACCTCGAGCACCGCCTCCTCTGCCCGCTTGTTGCTGCCCTCGACCCCGTCGCTCTTCTCCTTGTTCTCCTTCTTTTTTGTGTGCTCGGTCGCGACCGGCCGGCTTGCGTCGGGCTTGGCCGCGCCCAAGGCCTTCTTCCTGGTGGTGCCTTCTTCGTCGTCGTGCGCGCGCTGCCCCTCCGCGCCATCGGACACGAGAGTCGCGACCTTGAGCGCGTCCACCACGGCAGCTCGCGTCTTGCGCTTGGCCGCTCGGCGCACCCCGGGCGCCTTCTGCGGTGCTGCGGCGGCGGCGGCAACGTCGTCCGGCTGACGCTCGCTCTCCCGTGTCGTCGCGTGTGACCCTCCCTCTGCTTCTGCTTCTGCTTCTGCTTCTCCAGCCTCCCAGCCCTGCTCTGCTGTAGCCCCGTCGAGTTCGTCTTCGTGTCGCGTTTCGGGCGTGTGCACGTGCTGCACCTGAACTGAACTTTCGCTGGCCGGCGACGTCGACGTCGACGTCGCAGACTCACTCACTTCAGGTGGCGGACTGGTGGCCTCCGTCATGGCCGTGCCCAAGCCCACCTCCTTATCCGTCGACGCATGCAGGTCCCAATAATGTTTGTTGTTCTGCGCCAGGTGTCTGCGTGGATGGCGGTGGTGTGCAGTGTGTATTCGTGCCGTGTGCCGTGTGCCGTGTGCGGTGGTGCGCTGTAAGCTCGGCCCAAGATGGCGGCGCTGGTGCATGCGGCCTGTGCATAGCAGGCGAGCCAAAGCGGAGCGTACCTCGTGGCAGTAGTGGCAGTGGGAGGCTCAGTGTGTGCCGTGGGTGTGGGCACACGAGGGGGTGGATGGTAGGAGACCACCACGTCATCGCAGTCGTCGTAGGCATCGTGGGGGTGGGTTCCCGACGACAGATTCCGGGGTCGGTAGTAGACTCTGAAGTCCTCGTCAGGAGCAGGAGTTGCCCCCCGGGGGGCATGAACACCACTCATGCTTGGCTATGCAATGCGGCACCGCACGAGGAACGACGAGCGGTTGAAGGGCACGAGGTGCTCGGCCGTGCTCTGGCCACAGGGGATGGGTGATGACTCCAGCGAGGGGCGTGCGGTTGGTGAAACGCTTTTTGGCGCCAAGAGGGCAGCGCAACAATGCGCGGTATGCTGCCTGCCGGGCTCGCACAATTGCTGGAATTTCTCAAAATTGGCTGCTTCGAATTCCAGAGATGAGCCCAAGCGGCCAAGAGGCTGGGACATAAGAGTGACGCGGCCATCTTGGCCGGGGCTCTACAGCCACGGCACGCCCCGGTGCCGCCGGAGCATGTGCTGTGGGCGCAGGTCGATGATGGGGCACGCACACTCCGTCGCGTTCCTCCGCTTATAAATAGCGGGAGGGAGGCTCCGTTCTCCCTTCTCTTTTCATTCTTCCAAACTCCTTCGCGAGCCAGAAAGACTTTCCTCCCTATCTCTCCCTTCCGCCACTTCTCCCCAAGGACCACTACACTTCCGGTGCAGTAGTCGTCATTTTCCACACCACAAGCACAAGCCGCAGAGAGAGAGAGCAGCAGCAGCAGCAATGAGCGCGAGGCGAGAGTTCCAATCGAAGAAGAGGATCCTGATCAAGGCCGGCACCGGCGTCATCACCGACGAGAGCGGGGGTGTGTCGCTGGGACGGTTCGGCCACCTCGTGGAGCAGGTGGCGGAGCTCAAGAAGCGCGGCAAGGAGGTAATCATTGTGAGCAGCGGGGCCGTCGCCATGGGCAAGCAGAAGCTGCACGAGAGCGCCGCCCCACCCTCCCACAACCCGCGGGCGTGCGCCGCCGCCGGCCAGAGCGGCCTCATGGCCCTCTACGAAACCCTCTTCCGCCAGAAGGACATATGGCACGTGGACACCCCCCCCCAAGCATTGGGCTCGCCTCCCCCCCTTCCACGCCCACACCGTCCCTTTTTCCACTTGCGCTGGGGATAATATCTTGTTTCTCTCTCTTTTTATTTGTTTTATGATTTAACTTTTCTTTTTCTTTTTCAATTGCTGTGTGCAGGTGCTCGCAGATCCTCCTCACCGACGAAGACTTCCTCAATGAGGAGCGAAGGTACCCCCCCCCAACAACCATTGCGCTGCGTGTGCTCGGGCATAGAGGCACCCCAGCAGCAGTACATGCCACATGAATCTGTCTCACCTGTGTGCGTGTGTGTGTATCGTCGGCAGGTCCAACTTTCGCGAGACGGTGGACGAGCTCATCAGGCTGGGCGCGGTGCCCATCCTCAACGAAAACGACGTCATCAGCTCCCGCAAGACCCCCTACACGGTGAGCATCAATCTCCTCCCCTCCTCCTCCTTGCGCGTCCCCCCTGCCCTGCTGCCGCGCTGGCATTGTGCGCGCGCGCGCGCGCGCGTGTGTGTGTGTGTGGGCGCGTGGTGAGTGTCGACGTAGCACGAGAGCTAATGACATCAAGGCGTGGGCTATGGTACAGGACTCGGAGAAGCGCATCTTCTGGGTACGCACACAGACCTCTCCCTATCCTCCTCATGCTGCTGCTGCTGCTGCTGCTGCTGCTTTCAAGCACTCGTCTGTTCCTCCGCTCACCAACCAAACCAAACCAAACCAACAGGACAACGACAGCCTGGCGGCGCTCGTGGCCGGAGAGACGAACGCCGATCTCGTCATCCTCCTCAGCGACGTGGAGGGCCTCTACAAGGAGCCCCCGAGCGCCTCCGGCAAGAAGGGCGAACTCATTGACACCTACCAGGTACCCTCACCATCCCCGCCTCCACCCCAACCCAACCCCTCCCCGCAACCCGTCCTTCCTCGGAAGAAACACCTCACCACTCGACACCACCACCACCACCACCACCACCACCACCACCACCACCACCACCACGTGACAGCATGACGCCAAGTTCACCATCGGCGCTGGCTCCCGCACTGGTACTGTATTCCTCCCTCCCCCTCCCGCGCCCAAACCCTCATGCTCACCACCATCTGTAAACGTCGTACACACACACGACACACACACACGACACACACACACGACACACACACACGACACACACACACGACACACACACGACACACCCGTACACTGCAGGGAGGGGCGGCATGCAGGCCAAGATCGAGGCCGCGCGGTACGCCCTCTCGCGCGGGGCCTTCGCGGTACACCCCCTCCCCAAACTGATCCACGCACGGCTTGCCATTTATTGGCGGGGCACGCGCTGACTAACTTGATACGTGTGTGTGTGTGTGTGTGTGTGTGTGTGTCGTGTGTCGTGTGTCGTCTCGTCGTGTGTGCGGCGTTGTTGATCGACAACGCGCAGGTGGTGATCGCCAGCGGGTACACGCTCAACGTTATCACCAACATCGTGGCGGGCGCGCGCATCGGCACCCTCTTCGTGGAGCATCCCGAGCGGGAGCTGGCCACGGCGCGCCAAATGGCGTCGTGCTCGCGCAAGGCCGCCCAAGCCCTGCTCGCGCTGGGTCCGCAACGGCGTCAGGCCCTGCTGGGGGCCATCGCCACCAACCTCACGGCGGCCAAGGCCCAGATCCTGGAGGCCAACCAGCGCGACATCGCCAACGCCCGCGAGAACAACCTGCGCCCCGCCCTCGCCGCACGCCTCGTCCTCGACGACAAGAAACTCCACACCCTCGCCAGCGGTACCACACAGCCCTCTCCCTCCCCCAATCTGCCCTCCTCCTCCTGGCGTCCTCCCACATCGATCCCTCTTCGTTCGTTTCGCTTTGCTCACGTGTGTGTGTCGTGTCGTGTGTTATGTCACGCGTGTGTGTGTGTGTGGGTGGCGTGGGTGGCGTGCCTGATCTCACCCCGTCAGGAGTGAGGCAGATCGCGGCGGGCGAGGATCCGATCGGCAAGGTGCTGAAGCGGCGGGAGCTGGCCGACGGGCTGGTGCTGGAGGAGGTGCGTGTGCCGATCGGGGTGCTGCTGGTGATCTTCGAGGCGCGGCCGGACGTGCTGCCGCAGGTGGCGGCGCTGGCCATCCGGTCGGGCAACGGGCTCATCCTCAAGGGTGGGAAGGAGGCGCTGCACACGAACACGGTGCTGCACGGCATCATCACGCGCACCGTGGAGCAGTTCGGGGTGGACCCGCAGCTGGTGGGCCTCGTGCAGACCTACGAGCAGATCGACGAGCTCCTGCAGCTCAAGGAGATCGACCTCGTCATCCCGCGCGGCTCGGCCGAGCTCGTGAGCCACATCCAGCACAACACGCGCATCCCCGTGCTGGGCCACTCCGAGGGCCTCTGCCACGTGTATGTCGACCAGGCCGCCGACCTCGACAAGGCCACCCGCATCGCCGTCGACTCCAAGACCGACTACCCGGCCGCCTGCAACGCCGCCGAGACCCTCCTCCTCCACCGCGACCTCCTCGCCGACCGACGCGCTCACGCCGTCCTCGACGCCCTCGCCCGCGCCAACGTCAAACTCTACGCCGCGCCCCACGCCGCCACCCACTTCCCCGACCTCCCCCGCGCGCAGGTAACCCCCCCCCTCTCTTCTTCCCTCTCTTCTGCCCTCTCTTGGACCGCTGCTTCGCCGCCGCCGCTGTCGCTACCCACTGCTCACCCCAGGTCCCACATGTCTGGTGTTGTTTGTCTTGTTTGTCTTGTTTGTGTGTGTGCGCGCGCGCCGTGTAATCGCTGTGACGATGTACACCTGTGCGGCCTGTCTGTCTGCCTGCCTGCCTGCCTGCCTGCCTGCCTGCCTGCCTGCCTGCTTGCCTGCCTCTCGGCAGTCCCTGCGAACAGAGTATTCGGACCTGGGCATGACCGTGGAGGTGGTCGACAGTCTCGAGGCGGCCATTGCCCACGTCAACGAGTACGGCAGCGGCCACACGGACGCCATCATCACCGAGGACAAGGAGGCCGCACAGAAGTTCTCCCAGTTTGTCAACTCGGCCTGCGTATTCCACAACGGTACCCACCCACCCCACCCATCCGCCTTGCCCGTCGCCAGTGCGTGCGACCGTTCTGACGGCCTGATCTCTTCCTCTCTTCCCTTTTCTTGCACAGCGAGCACGCGCTTCTCCGACGGCTACCGATTCGGGTTGGGTGCCGAGGTGGGCATCAGCACCAGTACGTTGTTCCCCCCCCCCCCACAATCCACCACTTCTCAATGTGGTGGCTGGTGGCTGGTGGGTCCTAACCCCCCCCCCCTCCCCCCATTTGTTTGTTTGCCTCCTGCGCGCAGGCCGCATCCACGCGCGAGGACCCGTGGGTATCGAGGGGCTTCTGTCGAGCAAGTGGGTCCTGGTGTCACAGACCGGAGGCTCCGTCGCGTCAGACTTCTCGGCGGGCAAGCGAACCTTCACGCACCGCGACATCTACCCGCCCTTCGCCCCGCAGCCCGCCTCCGTCTTTGCCGACTTCCAGCCCAAGCTGTAAAGGGCCGCTTTTTTTGTACCACCAGCCACCACCACCAAATACACGTGATGCCCCCGGCAGGAGGATCGGACACGCGGAAGAGGCTGAGAGAGCTCACGGGGAGGGGAGGAGTGTGCTCTCGTTGGGCGACTCGGGTTTTATTGGCGGCTCACTCGGTGCTGGGGGCGGGGGCAGGGGTGGGGGTCTGGCCGAAGCGCTGTCGGATGCCCTCCATTTCGTTGATGTTGTAGATCTTGAGGCCCTTCTTGCCGCCCACGCCCAGCAGGTAGGGCGAGTCTTCGAAGAAGGCGCCGCAGAAGAGCTTGCCCTGCGAACACCGAGAGATTACGAGGGAAGGAGGACACGTGTCAGTCGGGAACACACACGCGCGCACACACCACGTGTGTCGTGCGTCGTGTGTCGTGTGGTGGG